TTAAGCTGCACCACCTTCTGCCTAACCGCCGAGCTAAAGCTCTTTTTACACCACTGAATCATAGACGCAACCATGCATGCGCAGATACATCTGTTACCAACAAACCCCATCTGCCATCCACGGAAAAAATAACTTGGTCGTGCTGGTAGGTAAGCATGTATTTTCTTTCTCGGATTTGCTCACCAACATACAGACACGGATGAAAAAGGCTAAGACGAAGACGTACTTGTAGTGAAGTGAATTGACTGCCACGAGACCGCTTTCTCCGCTGAATTTTGACATGCACGAGCCAAGCATTCTAAAGTGATCGTGTTAGATGGAGCCGCCTATCCACCCCCACGTACTCTTGTCACATCTATTTTCCCACCAACTTCACACTATAAATTATCAGCACACTAACATCTTCTTCCCCATCACCAACCCACATCCCTCCACGATGGCACGCAAGCTCATGTACCCACGGATCCTCGCAGTGCTCGCACTCGTCATGGCGACGGCGTGGACGCCGTGCTCCGCGGACACGACGGTGCCAACGATGTCCCCAGCAGCGGCAAGGGGAGACAACGCACCCGTCCGAGCTGCTGCAAGTGCGCCGGTAAGTTCAACAGTCGCCGTACCTGCAGCCGGTGCAGCGACAACGCAAGCCACGGCCATGACGTCCAACAAGATCCCGTTGGCGCCACCAGACGTGGTCGAGCCGGCAGCGGAGGTGGTGTCGGCGCTGCCGGTGCCGGTCCCCGAGACTCTTCCCAGCGCAGAAGGCCTTGGCTTCGGCAGCAGCGGGTTCAACGGTGGCCAGGGCGGCTTCGGATGCTGCGGAGGTTTCGGGTACAACGGTGGGCTCGGCTACAATAACGGACCGTTGTTCTTCAACTCGGCGCCGGCGAGAAGATTGAGCCTGACGAGCATGGCGACCGGAAATGGCCTCGCGGCTCTGCTGGTTGCTGGTGCTGCGGCGATGTTTTATGTGTGATTTGTACTGTACTAGTTTTTATTATTTTTTGGGGAAGGGGCATGCATCAACTGACATGTATCACAGGCAGTTAATACTCCAAATTTAAAGTAAGATCATAATAATATACCATACGACGTACTACAACATTGAGTATAACTTAGACATACACATGCACGTTCTATGTAATACTTCAAAATTCTACGGTACGTACCTACACGATGTCGCATGTGGTTTGGTAATGACCCGTACGTCGACGTACCACATGCACACGGCATGCCCCATGCTACACCAGCTAGCTACCACATACATACACATACGCACGTCTTTACTTGTTTGTGATCTTGTATTCTGTTTCACACCGCCTCTCCACCTAAGGGCATCTCTAGCCGATACCCTAAAAATCTTTTTTAGAACGAAGGCTCAAGAAGAGCCTGATTTTAAATTAACAAAGCCATCAACCGGCCAGGATTACAGGACTGCCACTTACAACAAGAAAACAAAGAGCGGAAATAAAGATACATTGTGCTCAGTAGAACAACTCGAAGGCATAGAATGACATTGAACGCCGCTAAGCCGAAACCAGCTAACCTACTAAGGCTATGGGAGGAAGGCACCACCGTGCATGTTTTGTGTCACTGATTGCCATCAAAAGGAAAATAGGGGCAACACATGACCTGACTCCGCCTCCGCAAAGGGCCCCTACCCTTTCACCCGGGCTCGACGGGTGCCGCACCGGCGGCCTGCGGAGTGCTTCACCCTAGAACCCAGATCAGCATTCCCAAGCAACCGAAGGAGAGGCACCAGGAACAAACCCACACGAAATGGGGAGCCGAACACCCAGTCACCGTTGCCGGCAGCAGCAAGGCAGAGCACCGGACGAGAGTTGTCAAGACGAAGGCGCTGAAAACCCCGGAGAAGGCCAAGAGTATGCAGCACCACGCATCGGTCAAGGATAGGAGGCACCATAGCCCATGGCACGAGAGAGGGACCCCGATCCCCTCGCACCAGCGGCTGAAGCCCTCCACACCTGGACCCGAGCAAGTTGCCGAAGATGAAGATCAGGCCAATACAATCCGCCGTCGAACCACCACCGACTCCACCACCACTTGAGCACTTCCCTGACGACGCCTTCAGGAATGTTCACGCCACCAAGGTGCCGTCGTCGCCATGAAATGAGGAACTGAGGCTTTCATCTGAGCTGCTGGGTGGGGTGGGAGGTGAAGGAAGCCCACCGAAGCCTTCAGCAAGGAGAACGACGCCCAAAGGCGACATCTTCAATGTGGCTGCCGCGCCGGCCAGGGGTTTCCCCCGGATCCGCACCCAACCACCAGATATGCACAACCGGCATCCAGAAAACGGCGGCCAGAGCCACCAGGGACAGGGGGCGGCGCGGATCGGAGCAGATCGAGGATGAGGACGCCGATTCTCCAAGGTACAGCCGGCCTACAAGGAGCTGCTGCAGCCGCCGACGCCCGCCACCTCCATGCCGCCCGCACGACCGGGGAGGCGACCCACCTGCACCCTGCGGCGCCGCCCGCCGCACAGGCCACGCCGCTGGCCGCCGCCCGAGGCCGCCGCCCCGGATGCCGAGGCTCTCCACGCAAAGTGGATCCGCCAAAGTCCCCGCCGCCCCCTTCATGGGTGCCGAGCGGCCGCGCCGCTGGCCATCTCTGGCGGCGGCGGAGGGAGGGAGGGGGGCGGGGGGACTAGGTGGCGGCGGCTAGGGTTGGCCCCCGAGTCGCCTCGAAGGAGACGACGCGCGCGGGGGGGAGGGGGGAGCTTACATGAGTAAAATTTTGAGTTTACTCCTGTAAACCGGACCAAGACGAGTAAGAATACGTGGTCCCATCACAACACTCCAGCCCAGAATCCACCACAACCGAATTTGGGCCGCCGCCACCACCAGCTCGTGTCCCCCCACTGGCTCCGCCCCGGGCGCCGCCAGTGCCACATCCCACCCGTCCGTCGCCGCTGCCGGATTTGGACCGTCGCCGCCACTAGCTCTGCCCCGGGCGGCCGCCTGTGAATGAATTAGTGAAATTAGTATTACTCAAAATAATTAAGTTTCAAAGGAAGAATGAATTAGTGGCCTTGTTGTTACCCTTTAAGAAGAATGAAACGGAAAATTAAAATAAAATAACAATATTTGCACTAAAATTGGGGGGTTTTATAATGGGTGTGGCTAGGTCTCAGTCGACAGAGACTTAACCAAGTCTTAGTCAAGTGATATAGTATGTAAGAAAAAAAAAAAACTGAAAAAAGTTGTTCGAATCTCCATGTAAAATGAAAGGAAGATAGCATCGACTGAGACATAACGAAGTCTCAATCGACTGAGACTTAGCAAATCGGTAAAAATAATCCTATAACAGTGGAACTTAAAAGAAAATAGTTTCCTAAGAAGAAACTAATTATTGCCATAGATATTATCCTCAACGAAAAATGAAAAAAACATAAACATAATCAAAATACTAAAGTTTCTAACAAAATGAATTAGTGCCATTGGTATTATCCTTGAAAGTAATTGAAAGCTTTAAAAATACACACACAAATTTGTACTGAAATTGCACTTTGGTAATATGCAAAAAATAAGCATAAAGTACGTAATTCCTATCTCTAACATTCTTTCCACACGTATTTTATTGTACTTGCGTGTATACATGTACACTGACCCGACATCCTAAAAATACCGATAAAGGAAATAAAATAAAAGCAAAAATACGTATAAACTTTTAAGAAAAGGCAATGGATAACTGGCTTCCAGCTCAATAGGAAAACCGAATTGCCCCATAAGGGGCAAGTAAAAAATTCTGTGCAAAAAGCCATGAAACAACACCAGAAAAGAAAAGCATAGTCAATCATGGCAAAATAATCTGCTATCAGAAAATTATGTTGCCAAAATTTAAAAACCAGGCACCTTGGGCAAACTCTTCTCTCAAAACTACGTCAGCGAGCCCCTGGATTTGCCTCCCCTCTGCTTGCCGCTCCTGCGGCAGGTGGCGGGAAGGGGAATCCAGGTGCCTCTGTAGTTTAGGTTAGGGTCTTTTAGTCATTGCAGGGGAGGTTCTCGGGCGGATGGCGGCGCTACTTCTTAAAGTTTGTTTTCCGGGCTCCGATACTCTTTGAGTACGTCTGTCTGGACGTAGTCGACGGAGCTCATTCGTAAATTCCTACCATCTCTTCGGGGCGGTGAGGTTAGGGTTTCTCGTCGTATATCGATATTTAGTGTCAGGTGCTACAGATGTAAACAAGGATTCAACGATTGTGGATGAGGCTACAGGGTGCTGATCCTTAGAGGCACGTGCACGAAGACTTCCCGGCTGTCAGCGACAAGGTCAAGCCGGCTCCAGTAGGGGAGCAGTGACAACGGCGAGTCGGCGGCTCCTTCTGGCGGCAATAGTGTTTGTTTGGGGTCTTAGAATCTCAATGTAAGTTTTATTATGTTCGAGATGGTTTGTCCTTCCGCTGAACTTTGATGATATATCTGAATCATTTTTGAAAAAAAAACTTACACATAGTTAAAGTGCTGAAAAAATGCTAAAAGTAACCAAAAATATCTGACCATTAAGCAATATAAAATGTCTCAACTCTTATGTGGGACGAATGAAGAGGTAGATTTTGAGGCAACTGCTTGCTTAACTAATTAACGAAAGCATGCACTCGTATAAATTCTTTGCATGCAGGCAGGCAAGAAGATCAAGTACACAGACCTACTGGTTATGCCGAACAAGACCTCGACTTGGTAGATGAACAAGGAAAATGTGAGGAGGCTGATTTCTACGTGGTTGTCTTTAGAGCATCCACAATGTGCATTTTTCCTGCTTTAAGCGTCTGCCTCTGTAGTGAAGTACTGAATTGCCTGCCACCACTCTGCTTTCTCAGCTGAATTTTGACTCGACGGGCCAACGGTACTAAAGCGATGTGTTAGATGGAGTAGCCTATCTCCCCACGTACTCTTTTCTCCCCTATTTTTCCCACCAACATCACTCCATAAATCATCGGTACACTAGCATCTTCTTCTCCGTCGCCAACGTACATCCCCTACACTATGGCTCGCAACCGCATGTACCCATGGAGCCTCGCACTGGTGGCGCTCGTTCTGGCCACGTCGTGGATGTGCTCACTTCAACCATGCTCCGCTGACACGATGGTGCCTCAGCCGACCACGACAGCGGCAAGCGCAGACAACGTACCCGTCCGAGCTGCCGCAAGTGTGCCGCTTGGTTCACCGGCTCCCACACCCGCAGCCACACCGGCGACGCCACCGATGGCCACGGCGTCGAAGAAAATCCCGCTGCCCGTGCCGGTACCCGAGACACTTCCCGGCGCGGAAGGCCTCGGCTTCGGCGGTGGATACGGCGGGCAGACGGTGCCCGGCGGCGGCCTCGGTGGGTTCAACGGAGACCAGGGCTTCTTCGGCGGATGCTGCGGAGGCTTCGGGTACAACGGCGGTCCTGGGTATAATAACGGGCCGTTGTTCTTCAACTCGGTGCCCGCAACAAGATTGAGGCTGAGGATGGTGGCAACGGGAAACGGCTTCGCGCCTCTGCTGGTGGCTGGTGCTGCAGCCATGTTTTACGCGTGATTTGTATTCTATTTTACTTTATCTTCTTATTTTTTGCTGCAGAGAGAAGACATATATGTTTGCATCATCAATTAATACAGTTTGGCTAAATCACATCTAGATATGCCATAAGTATTGCACATCTAAGTACTATGACATTGATTTTTACACGAAGATTCGTGTGGATATTTCTTTTCATTTTTTTTCCTCTTTATGCTTGATTCACTCATTTAGATGTGCAATAACTTGGGCACATCTATATATGCCATAGACAAACCTCAATTAATATGTATCACTGGTTAATATTTAATGTAAGTAGTACATACAAATATACGATACTATGTTAGGGTCATTTTGTCAGCATTAGTGGCTGGGACGCGTCCTGGGCGCATCTCTTGAGGCAAGACTGTACGCATTAATTATGCTGCCATATTTGTTAACGTCTCTACATGACTACTATATACATATAGCTTTGTGCAAAAATGGATAGTGTTTTTCTCAGTCATATGGCAGTCGACCTATGCTTCACAAATGAAATGCTTTGAAACTTGAGGATACAAATTTCAAAAGGAAGTTTTGGCGCATTTACAGATGGACTATCCGTTGAACTACAATTTACAAAGTAGTGACTAAGTATTTGTTGAACTACTATTTACATAGTACTCATAGTTATTTAATTAAGCTTACCATAGTATCCACTCAGCACCCAACTTGAATGACCATGAAAACCCAGTACTAATTATATTTGAATCCTTGCACTCAAAGAAAAGAAAATGCCATCTTATGGAAGACAAATAAATTAAGTTCTAATACTTTTGTATTGGCAATAGAAAAGGCAAAGTAACACACTCGAATTACATATTAAAGAAGGAAAGAGAGAATTTATATCTCAACGATCAAAATGAAACATGCTAGTGCTACAATATCAGACGCACAAAAAATGAGAAAGCAGTAGAATATGGCAGTGCATTTAAACTATATGCATTAATTCTATTACACACGACCCCTCTATCAGAATATCAAGTCATGTCACCAGGCAAATGTGTATTATTGCTTCTAATCAGTAAGACATCAGGATCAACAACTTTGAGTTTGTAAAAAGGAAAAGTAATTATATGTTAGATAGCTAGAAATCTTGCCAAATCATAAACACACTGTTGCGGGTAAGTGATTCCTAAATTCAGAGCTACAAAAAAAATTTAGCATCAACAAGACTTTTGCTTAAAGAGAGTACAACTGTTAAGGTGATTGGCGATTTTACGAACTGTCCATCCAGCCTAATCTAACGGTGGGAAAATAGGAGTTACGAGGAGTTATAAAACTAAAATTACAGGCAATTACATATAACGTGGGACCAGTACATAATTTTAGTTGGACCAATTAGAATTTTAAAGGGTAGATCCGTCATTTTTTTATTTCCGCTCGCAATATGTCCATTCGTCTCAACCCCGATCCAGTCTCATCCCCGATCCACTCATCTCCTCTAACGACGGCGTCCGCCGCTTGCCACGCCGTGGACTACCGGTTTCTCCCCGCCAAGTGCCCCACCATGCCGGCCGCCGGTCTCCACGCCGTCGACTGTCACAGTCCTTCATCGCCGGATGTGCCCCGCGAAGAGCCCCGCCCCGCGAGAGCCCTCCGCCGCCGGATGTGCGTCGCCAAGTGCTCCGCCCCGCGCCAGCACTTCGTCGTCGGATCCCCGTCCAGCGCGGCCAGCCCCCCGTTGCTGGATCTGCGCCGTCAAGAGCCCCTCTGCACGAAACCGCAGCCGGATCCCGGCCCCGCGGCAGTCCTCCCCCGCCGGTTGTGGCCCCGCCTGGAATACTCCCACCCAGCAAACCTCCCGTAGCGCCGAGCCGTCTTGCTCATCGGTGCAGCGTCCATCGCCCAAGTGTCGGCTCTTCAGGTCAGCGCATCCCCCCATTGCTAGTTTCCATCGTGGTTTGACACGGGGAGTTCATGACATTTTGTTTATTTACTTATGTGGATTAGGTAAACGTGATTAGGACCAGTGGATGAGTGAGCTGACTTGGAACTCGTCGGATTAAATTCATATACACCGATTTTGTTTACATTTTCTCTGCAAAGTCAGTATGGATTCAGAACCTACGTGCTGTGAAAAACAGTTACAATAGGAGATTCAGCCCATGTTCTTCTGATTCTGATTATGCACTGGACTATAGCCATTTTCCCACAGCGGCTCATCCACTATTGGATAACCACCATGCAGCTTGTTCATTTTAGATGACCCTCTTGCTGATTTCAATAGTTCTCTATGCTGAAGCTTCAAAATGGGACTAATCTGTATTGGTGAATGTAAGATTCAGAGAAAGTGAATATCAAGTTGTTGGTGACTGCAAAAATTTGAAAGAAACGACTCTGATTTCTTCTAGTGAATGACATTGTTGAAGTTGATGTTGGTTTGTAATCTTAGTAGTTCCCTGTGTGATTCATGCTGCAGTTTGGTTTACAAGTCTCATGCTACTGACAAACTTTTACACTTCATACATGCTACTTAACTGCAGCAACAGACCAAACAACTGATGAACTTGTGAACTCAGTGTTTACACAAGGGAATAAACAACTAACAAGATGGCTGAGTTTCTTATACATGCATTTCTCGTAGGTGATAGCTGTTGATCGTAGGTATGAAAAAAGATAGATGTTGTCAAGAACTCGAATGGCATTGACATAGCCAAGCTGATCAAGCACTCGGCAGAGAACCGCGGGATCAAGGGCTCTGACAAAAGGCGACGCCGTCGATCCGACCTCGCTGCTCATGGAAGAGTGCGACGTGCTCATCCCGGCAGCTCTGGGAGGAGTCATAAAAAAGTAATCTTCTTCTTCCTCGTCCCAGCTCACTTCATCCTATCTTCTATCAGATTAATGCTCTGAAGTTCAGTTAGAGTATCCTCCTGGCTGCTATTTTTTTCTGTATCTGAAAACATTTTTTTTAATAAATAGTCCTTTCGATTTTCTTCTTCTACTAGGGACAATGCTAATGCCATCAAAGCAAAGTAAATCATCGAGGCTGTTAACCACCCAACAGACCCCGAGGCCGACGAGGCAAGAACACCAACATTTTGCCACAAAACTAAGCTGCATTTGTTGACACATTCACACATTGACTGACAGCAGAGAAATGTTCATGTTCGTGGTGCAGATTCTGGCAAAGAAGGGCGTGCTGATCCTACCGGACATCATGGCCAACTCCGGCGTAGTGATGGTGAGCTGCTTCGAGTGGGTGCAGAACATCCAGGGGTTCATGTGGGACGAGGAGAAGGTGAATCGGGAGCTCAAGACATACATGACCCGCGCCTCAAACATAGTTCTGAATATTTAGGCAATGTATGGCACTGTAGAAAATGGACAGTAGTTATGTAAAGTATATCTTTGAAAACTAGAATTGGCTCAATTTGGAAGAATGCCTACATCATATGAACTTCTTGCCCGCTTTGCACGCGTTGCTACATGTGCATTATCATGCCTCAGCCATAATCATTGCCGACAAATATGGAACAGAAGAAGTATGTCCCCTATTTTAGTCCTCTCTGTCATGTTCGCGTGCACAACCTATTTTGCCAATGAGCAAGTTTAGGATCTGTTTGTTCTTCGATGATCTTATGCTGGTTGCCTGGTTCTCATTGTCGTCATAGTTGTCTAGTTAGTAAGCAGAACTCTGTTAGAGTAAACCTAGCTGGGACATCTGTTTCAGTATTGTTACCCAACAGACTTAGGCCTAGATTTATTAGTTGTAAATTCGTTAGCTCCATGTATTGCATTAGTTTCGATGCAATACATAAGCTGCAATGTACCAACTCTTGTCGACATGTCTATATCAGTATAAAAATGGTACATGGTGTTCCTGATGCTATTCCTTCTTATTTTCTGCAGGAGAGGCTGTCATTTGACAATACGGTTCTGTGTGTTCATTGACTGCTGGTGCTGCAGCCTGAAATTTTTCTTGTGGAGTCGACTGAAGTAATCCATCAAGCTAGCTGCATTATTGATTCTATTCTTTTTGCTGGCGAGGTAATAATCTCCCACTCAACTCGTGATGTGAGAAATAGTAGTGTAACCATGATATTTACATCATTGCTCATGTTTTCTATATGCTATGATTTTTCTTCTGTAATTACCCTGCCTCAGCCATAATCATCATCCACTTAAACCAGAACTGTATACTTACGCAGTGTATGGCGCCGTTAGAATGGGGAGCATGCGTTTGTAAGTAGTCACTTATTGTAGTGTTTTAGATGTAAGGTTACTCCGATGCAGAAAGGTATGGATCAGATGGTGCAAATGATAGAAGTGGAACTTGCAGCTCATTAGCTGGGTTTTTTTTCTAAAAAGAACCAATGAAAAGTCAAGCATTTGGATGGACATAAGCATACAAATAATATGCAAAAACATTAGAACATAAGTGTAGTCTTTAATTCAAAGAACATGCTATGAAGATCAATCATTATGATCTGCCCTTGAAGTGCCTCTCCGTGTAGCCCATTCATGGCTGTACAAATGGGCTGGACACGGCGTTTGATGGTTTGCGCTTGCGTCTTTTCGACTCCACTTGTTTAACGATAGTCTCTGTGTCAAATTGTTGTTTTACTGGATTACTAGGAGGGGCATTCTTCCTCAGGCGTCCACGTTTACGCTTTGGGGAACCGGATGTGTCTGGTTTGTTTGTAACATCAGGGTTGCTGACAATCGTGACGTCGTTGTCTGCACCTTTTCGTTCCTCTGGAATACTGGCTTCATACTCGTCCTTATGTAGAGGAAATAGTGGTGCGTTACATGCAATCATGAAAGGTAGGAACTACATGACATGAAATGCTAGTTGTGTAGAACTTACCTCTATAGGATTCTTGTATGATTTTTTCCGAAGCTTGTTGCAATCCGTCCGCAGCAGGCTTGAACATATTTGCCAACTGAAAATATGTATTTCTGCCTGAATTAGATAGTGACGCATAGGTTAGGATAGCGGTGAAGCATAGGTAGTGCATGATTGCAAATGTAATTTAGTGTTCGGCAGACCTGTGTGAAATCCTCAGTAATTTTGTCTCCGTCCCATGTCAACATGTATTTGAGTGTGTACGCCCCACAGGAATAACTGTGATGTAAAGTTGAAGTTAAGTATTGTAATGTAGGTGAGGAATCATGTAGCTGCCTATACGTACCCATCCGTCTGTTGTGGTATGTTAGTATAGCAAGTGGTTTTCCACTGGGTAATATTGATGGGTTTAGGCGGTGTTACCAAGCCATCCTCGATCGCTTCGTTGATACACGCCTGAATGGACTCCACCTGGTGTATGAGGAGTAATTCAAGGGATTGCGTCAGTGCTTTTCAAAAAGTGTCACATGAGGTAAGAGAAAGCAAGAGAGCAAGCTTACCAGTGCAGTTTCCTTGGCTATGTCACGATATGCTTGGATGGAGTTTAGGACCTGGATCTCTTCTTTGTCTAAATTAAACACGAGTAATAACCAGTGCATGATGTGCACATTCATTGGGACACGTGCCTCGCAGAAAATTAAAGCGGACTCAATTTAGGGAAAATCAAGATATACAATTAAACAAGTCAGGAAACATGCATACCATTTTGCGTCCTACAAATTTCGTTGCTACATTAGCAACATGTGGGCTTTTGCATCCCATTGGAATACCCCCAAATTCGCCTAGCAATCTTCTGCTTTCTACAGTGGAAATGAATGATGTAGCATCAGTTGCAACATTGCTAATGTGTGCATATGCATTAATAACCTGCAAAATTTGTAGTCATGTAATATGGCACAATTTAGAATACTTGATGTAGATTGCAGTATACGGGCCTTACGTCATCAACGAAGAATAGTTTGCTAACATTTGGCTTGAGTTGATGAACTGTTAGCACAATGTCTTCAATGTAAACTACCTCAACAAGGTCGTGACTCCCTCGGATGAAAAGTGCAGCCTCATAGTCTTCATCTGTCAATATGTAATCATTGTTGAATACAGGCTTCCGTGGTGGGATGTCTTGGTCCAACTCCTTGTTTTGCACCGCAGGTTTTGCACTAGGTGTACCAGCAGAAGTCCATGCTTTCCATGCATCAAACCCAGGAGTTGATGAAAACTTGTCATTGCTTGGTTGCTCTTGTTCCTAAAATTAGAAGTTGGTCAATGAACATAAATTAGCTCATGTTAGCAAGATGATGGGCCATAGTTATCACCTGTACGTATGCATTCTTCTTCGTTGATTGTTTGTTTGTTTCACCTAGGGATCTTAATTCATGTAACATGAAATGCATAGAATGAAAATATAGGAAATTATGGGTAAAATTGATGTTGTAGTATCACTTACCTGGAGTTCCCTTTTGAGGTCTCCAACTTCCCTTTTGAGGTCTCCAACTTCGTCCTCCAGCTTGGACAACCTAGGTTGAGTGGCAATTTTACCCCTTATGTTTATCACGTCCTCGGTCACGGTGATTATTCTTTTATCTAATTTGTGCTCTACTTCTACTACTTGTTTGACCAACTTCTTCTCTTGTTCTGCAAATAGATCGTTCTGGGTTTGAAGTATCATGTCCATCTGCATAAAAGAAATGTCAACTCGTTTTGTTAGAAGAAAAATAAGTGTGGTTAGGTGTGACCTTTGTTGTGTTATTGAAAAGGATGTGTCTTGGAGCAACTTACTTGTTGGCTACTCATAGTTTGACCTCATGGTTGTGGTCGATAGCTAGCATCTTCATGCGCATGTGTATCTTTGTTGGTATGCTGGTCATTTGTAATGTTGGTTGGCTCCAGATCGCCAATGTTCATGATAACCTTTGATAAGATATAAAGAATCAGTACTAAGAAATAAATATGGTAAATAAAGAAGTCAAGTCTAGAAAGGTACCAATCCATTATACAGGCCTCCTTTCAAGTAGGCCTCATGTCTTATTTTAGTTGTGGCTTCATCCCTCCGTGCCATCAGCGGATGGGGTATACGAGAATACATAAGCAAGCCATCACGGACATGTTCCCAATACCAAAATTGTAGGAAACATTAGTTCAACAATGATAGAGATATATGCATCATATGAATAATAGTAGAATGACAACTAGTGTTGTAGCACTTACTTGGAGCAAAGCCAGATTTCCTTGTAGATTCACTTGGTCCACATAGTTAAAAGCATTGATGGATGTCAACAGATGGTTAAGTGTGAAACATCCCCAGTTAAAATAGGGAATTCTTGCGACGTCTTGTACAAGGACGAAATATTTGGCGTCGACATAATCCTGTACCGTGGGTGCTAACATAGTGCCAATAGCATACAAAACAAACCGCCTGATGAAATGATCATCTGGAGTTTTGGTGGCTTTAATTTTCTTCTCAAGGTCACTCAGCTTAAGTCTTCCGTCAGTTTGATAAACGCTTAACAGGTTTACATCTATTGGTTTTCCCATTTCCATATATATATATATATCTTCCCCCTCTATCGGAAGGTCCATTAATTCATACACATCTGTTGGAGTTATAGGAATGTCCTTACCAGCAATGTGAATACTCTGCTTTTTTCTGATGTAGCTCTTGGCTAGCAGCACCAACGTAATACATCGGAGAAGCACTGACTTCATTTGCGTTAGCCCTCCAAGACCAGTTTTAGTGCAGATGGCCTTTTGGTGGTCGGGATCTAATCTGTCGATCATGTGCGCAATCCTTGAAGGTGAGCACGATAACCTCATATTTGCATGTTTCACACTGAGTTCCTTCAAAAAATCCTGAAATATGTGTAATGGGTAAAAGAACTATGTGTTTTCAAAGATTTTAACCTAACTGGGATTAACATACCTGATTGGTTACGTCTAGTAGTGGCAATTCTGTGTCAGCATAACTACTGGAAGAACTAGCCATTCCTGCAAAATATGCACAAAGATAGACTGAATCAATTTTCTCTACTGTCGTTCATGTGAATATAATATGTGGTATGTACTGAATCATTCTGCCATTTGATATTTGTATACAGTTTTGGATTAAGTTGACCTCACTTGTTGACTAAAGGGTGTAAAAATATCAGGCGACCGTGATGCTGATGGGTGGATGAAGAGGAAGCAGTATTGTCGTATCACATAGGCCAGGTAGGTGGTTGACACCGGCTCGGATCCCCTAGGTGTGCCTGGCGGCTCCGATCGCGCCGGTCATCCCCTGGGTGATCCTGACGGTGGCAGCGGCGTTCCTGTGGATGTACGACAGTTGCTGGGCGCTCCAATTTTGATTGTCCACCTAATTCATGTAGCTGCGGGCGGTACCCATGGCGCCAAATAAATGCACGTTCGAACATAATCATGTACGAGCCTGTTTAGATGACAAGAGCCGGCATTCTCAC